CCTGACTCTTTAAAGTAGAGACACTACATACTGATATACACCTGAACATCAGCAGGAGAGGACTCTTTAAAGTAGAGACACTACATACTGATATACACCTGAACATCAGCAGGAGAGGACTCTTTAAAGTAGAGACACTACATACTGATATACACCTGAACATCAGCAGGAGAGGACTCTTTAAAGTAGAGACACTACATACTGATATACACCTGAACATCAGCAGGAGAGGACTCTTTAAAGTAGAGACACTACATACTGATATACACCTGAACATCAGCAGGAGAGGACTCTTTAAAGTAGAGACACTACATACTGATATACACCTGAACATCAGCAGGAGAGGACTCTTTAAAGTAGAGACACTACATACTGATATACACCTGAACATCAACAGGAGAGGACTCTTTAAGTTGTATTCTTGTCATTTGTGCCACTTTTGTCCTAGTTTTACTGTTCATAAAGCTAATAGTATAATCATAACCCCAATCTCAGTTTTACCTGCTGAGAGAACTCATTGCTGCACATAACCACAAGTTTTTTTTGTCAAAGGATCTCATTTACACATCATTTAACCCTATTATTGAGTTTAAAATGGCAAAAACAGTAGATGCACTAATTACAACGTGCAAATAAGCAGATGATATCCTCTAACATTATTTTCTTGTCTCTCTTTCTGCAGGATTTCCACGGAGCATTCGCCAAAGCTTCAGATCCGGAGTCACAGCTACCTGCGGGCGGTGAGTGAGGTTTCCATCAATAGGAGTCTGGACAGCTTGGACCCGGCAGGGCTGCTGGCCTCGCCTAAATTTCGCTCGAGAAACGAGAGCTACATGAGAGCCATGAGCACCATAAGCCAGGTTAGTGGCACCCAGAGGCCCCTGTACCTCCATGGTTATGTCCAGTGAGGTCGTGCAGGGGGGGTGAATCCAATCCTTAGCTGTCTTAAGGCCTGAAATAATAAGTATGAACAAAACCAAAATCTCCTAATTAGTATATACGTGCTGTTTTCTGGAGCGCAGATGATTACAGCCGTATTCAGATTGGCTAATTAAACAGGATTTACCCCAACATGCTCCTTCTGCTGTGGCACACTCTGTGATGCCTCTCTCTGTGTTGCATCTGCTATGCAAGAGACGGGAAAACAAGAATTAACATGAAAGCCAAATATGAAATCTGTGAATAAGTGGAATCTGGATTGGTTACTACTGTCGCCTCAAACACGTTCTCATGAGGAGAAACGTGCTGCAGCTTCAGAAACGATGCAAATATAAGAATACAATGGTGACATATCACATGCACCTGTCAGTCACCGTAGCTTCCAAATGATTAGCCTTTTTTTATATATCTGCTTTCAACACAAGGCAATTCAAAGTGCTTTACAAAAATGAAAGACATTAAGAAATGGCATTTAAAAACAGTCATTAAAAGTAAAGATACAAGAATAAAAGTTACAGTGCAGTGTGAGATATGAATAGTTCAATGAAAAGCAGCCTGGATTTAAAAGTAGTGAGAGTCGCAGTGGAGGTCTCTTCTGCTAAATAACACGTTAGTCATTTTGGATTTTGAGCCAGGCTTCATACCATAAGTTATCTGGAGTGACAGACGAGCTTAGCTTACCTTTTCGCCCGGGGTAACGAGGATATGAACTCCCCTCCAAAGCCCCGGGGAAACACTCTGCCTCATCTGCTGAATAAAGGACCCGAGGGACGGCCCTTCAACTCCTGGCATGGAGCAGAGCCACTGAACAAGAAAGAGGTTCTCTCTCTCTCTCTCTCTCTCTCTCTCTCATATCTGACGTGTGTGTGAACGTAACACACAAAACAGACTGTTAACATCGAGGTCCACAAACCTTACTGACTCCAAGCTCTGCAGTAAATACTCACACTGTTCCCCTCTCCACTTCCACTCACCCAAACCAATCACTTAACTCCCCGAAGCAACATCTCATTCCTTCAGTTGCTCTGTGTTTTTGGACAAGCTGAACAAGGGCAACTTGAAGGAATCGAATGTCCTCACAACACAATCTGTATTTTTACGTGAGGCGTGGTGCAGGTCGCATACCAACTCCCACTAGTCGTAGCTTTAACACTTCCTAATTCTCACCTCTAATAACAGCACTAGTATTTCACTTTTCATGCTAAAACGTGATTCCTCCCCCTCTGCACTCCCTGGACGCTCTTATTTCCAGTATCTTTTATACACGGCATAAAGCTTCACGAGGCAGTTTGAAGGAAAAGTGATGACCCAAAGAAGACTAAATATTAGTTTCTGTTTGTCAGATTTGATTCAGAAGAACTTCTCTGGGTAAATAGTTTTTTGAGGATTTGTTCAAAACATCATGCACTAATCATGCATTTGTTATTTCTCCGTGAGCAGAGAGGTATCAATATCCCAACAGCAGAACTTATTATAATAAAGTGAATCAGTCTCAAATTATTCTGGAACACCGTCTTCTTGTGGATCACCCAATTAGATTTTAAGTGTTTGTTCTTAAAACTCCTGCCTACTGAAGCTTTAATCAGTGCTTCTGTGTTGAATTGTCCCTTTTTAGTTGTTTTGCACAATGCTGGGGTGCATTTGATTCATATTCCCATGCACGGACTGTGTGTCTTTGCGTGTCCTCGTCCCCAGGTGAGCGAGGTGGAGGTGAACGGGCAGATCGAGGCGGTGTGTGAGGCGGTGTTCAGTGAGATGGAGTCGCAGGCGGTGGAGGCTCTGGACCTGCCGATGTCCGGCTGCTTTCGCATGAGAAGCCACAGCTACGTACGTGCCATAGAGAAAGGCTGCTCGCAGGAGGAAGAGGAGGGAGGAGGAAGAAAAGGAGGCGTCGCCAACTCCCCCCCGCGCACCACCACCACCGTCAGGACCATCCAGAGCAGCACAGGTCGGTGGGACTCATGTACTGATGAACATGTGTGAGCATGCATAATCCATGGTGCATTATGAATTAATATGTGTGCATAGAAAGAATGTATAATACATGTTAGCTATGCAGTATGTAGTGTACTGGTAACTATAGTGGCTGACAACGGCCTGAAGCCTTTCTATAAGACAGAAACAGCTGCTTCAGAATCTAAAAACACTAATGTTCCTGTACACATGAAGAAACATCTTCAGCAACACATGCAGCATTTAGAGGACATTCAGCAACTTGAGGAGACATGCGCAGCGTTTACTAAAAGCTGCAGAAACCAAACGCTGCAAGAACCTCAAACACAACGGAGACCAGGGGACACTAAAGAGTGACGCACACAGCTGGGAGACCAGGGCAGGGGACACTAAAAAGTGACGCACACAGCTGGAGAGACCAGGGGGAGACCAGGGGACACTAAAGAGTGACGCACACAGCTGGGAGACCAGGGGACACTAAAGAGTGACGCACACAGCTGGGAGACCAGGGGACACTAAAGAGTGACGCACACAGCTGGGAGACCAGGGGACACTAAAGAGTGACGCACACAGCTGGGAGACCAGGGGACACTAAAGAGTGACGCACACAGCTGGGAGACCAGGGGACACTAAAGAGTGACGCACACAGCTGGGAGACCAGGGGACACTAAAGAGTGACGCACACAGCTGGAGACCAGGGGACACTAAAGAGTGACGCACACAGCTGGGAGACCAGGGGACACTAAAGAGTGACGCACAAAGCTGGGAGACCAGGGGACACTAAAGAGTGACGCACAGAGCTGAGAGACCAGGGGACACTAAAGAGTGACGCACAAAGCTGGGAGACCAGGGGACACTAAAGAGTGACGCACACAGCTGGGAGACCAGGGGACACTAAAGAGTGACGCACACAGCTGGAGACCAGGGGACACTAAAGAGTAACGCAAAAGACTGTTTTGAGCTTCTTGCAGTGTTTTGTATTTGCATCGTTTCTCCTAATGGGAATGTTCCGGTCTGTTTGAACCTGCTGGCCACCGTAGTTACCAGCAACAAAACAGATGAATTATTTCTGCAGTCAGCGGAAAGAGATTTATCCCTGAATGAAGATTGAACCAGCAATCAAATCATTTCTATTTGATAACTCTTCTATATTAACAAAGGGCAGAGTTGTTGTTGGTAGACGGGGGAATAGTTTGCAGACTGTAAAGCTCTCTGCATTGTTATCCATCTGACCCAGTTTCCCTCTGACACAATATGATGAATGCAGAACTGTTTTTTCCCACGTAGCAGCTTATGTGCGCTGTAAAGCTCGCTGGCTGCTGGATCTTATTTTAGCCTCTTGTGAGCCTCATGGTCTGCAGCGCTTGGCTTTCCAGCATGCAGTATTGATGCTGAGTGGAGCTGGCACTGTGCTTCTATGTTTCCTCTGCAGACGTCATGCCCTCACATCGTGAACGTTGAGTCACTGTCGCTGGCTTTCTCCTACTTTCCTCTTTAATTATGACAATTAAAACACAGCTTTCCCTTAAACCTCGTAGACGGGGTTGCAGTCAGCTCGTCAAACACATTAACTGCAAATTGGAAGATCAACCAGTTCAAGCGTCTTAAAATTGATTCCGAGCAAACATTTATTTAATGCCGTTTAAGCTTCGCTGCTACTGACTATAATGTATTCCCCTAGTGAAAGAGATTTGAGGATGCGTCCCACTATTGTAATCATTTCTATCGACGATTCAGAGTAACAGCGCAATTAAGGGCAGTGGAGGATTCAGTTAATTGTTGCGTTGTGTGCTGCTGCTGGTTATTGATCGATAAAAGCAGACTGATACCATCAGGAGGGGGACGTTTGGAGCCGGTTCCCCCGAGGAAGGCAGAGATAATGAAGCCCATCTATCAGCTGAGGTGGTGCAGGAACTAAACTCTGTTTTCCAGAGCAGCTGCAAACACCACTGCTGCTGCACCTGATAAAGGAAGCCTCGCTTTCCTTACTTTAGAGAGGTACCTGTACCTGGCTTTCATTAAGCACATTCAGGCAGTAACCTATACACCAGGGGTGTCAAACTCAAGGCCCGGGGGCCAAATCTGGCCCGCGACCTCATTTTATGTGGCCCGCAAGAGCTTGCAAAGAATATAATATACAATACAATTGGTGTAATTGTTGAATATTTACTTTCAATTATTTGCCCTAGACTTCTGCTTTCAGACGTAGTTATTTAGGAAGATATGACCAGAACCAATGCAGGGCCAACAATGTAATATAATACATTATTTAATATATACGATATATTTACTAGGGCTGTCAAACCATTAACATTTTTAATCAGATTAATCACAGCTTAAAAATTAATTAATCAGATTAATCACCATTTGAACTATGTCCAAAATATGCCATTTCTTTATGTATATTGTTGTGGGAATGGAAAGATAAATGAAAGAAGGCGGATATATCCATTTAACACACGCACACAGCTGGGAGACCAGGGGACACTAAAGAGTGACGCACACAGCTGAGAGGCCAGGGGACTCTAAAGAGTGACGCACACAGCTGGGAAACCAGGGGACTCTAAAGAGTGACGCACACAGCTGGGAAACCAGGGGACTCTAAAGAGTGACGCACACAGCTGGGAGACCAGGGGACACTAAAGAGTGACGCACACAGCTGAGAGACCAGGGGACACTAAAGAGTGACGCACACAGCTGGGAGACCAGGGGACACTAAAGAGTGACGCACACAGTTGGAGACCAGGGGACACTAAAGAGTGACGCACACAGTTGGGAGACCAGGGGACATTAAAGAGTGA